GCAAGTTGCAAGAGTATGAAATGTTCGGTTACATCCGAACTTAACCCTTCTTACTTGTTATAACACTAAAATTAATCTATGCGCCAGTTCATCGTAGTGCAATAGCACTGTCGAATGTCAAGAGTAGGTCAGCTCAGAATTAGGTTAATTCTTGACTTAGGTGAATCTGCACACCCTACAGGATTTAGTCGAAAATATGGCGAGTTTATAAAATTAATTGAACTGGACTGAACTCACTAAAGCAGCATAAGCATTATAAGAAACTCGCAGCCAAAACGAATCAGTAACTACTATCGCTTTACATGACTTGGTCCACTAAGGTGACAAAGTGAATGCAAAGCACTGTGGCATGACGATGCGCTCCATTTCACTCCCACATCAACGATTTTAAATGGGTGTTAAATGGAGTACAGAATGCAAGGAATACGTGACCATATTATCAATGAGGTTATTTCAGCTTTTAAGGCCACTTGACACACCATGCGCTAATGGTGGCACGCACTCCGAAGGCTCGTTGACTTGGGCGGGGTATCGCGGCGATGTCATTTGACAAATGCAACTGCAACAGCAGCATTGGTCGCCCACTCGCACGTCGAGATAAGAAATTATCTACTCGAGTTCAACTGAAAATGTGCAAATGGTTGGAAATTGCTTTGCACACGCCATTCTGAAATTAGCCCCAGCTCATTATTGTCGACAACACTAATGTGTTAGTTTGGCTGCCACCGCCTTAGGCTTAACCAGCATTTAACTAATTTGTGGCATTTGACACTCGCGGGCCAACACTTCACAGAAATGCACAAACAGTAAATAATTTGACAAATGCGCACATGCCATAGTCATATATGTATATTATGGGTGAATTACAGACCCTCATGTGGCACTTTTGCAATGGTAATATTGAAATGCACCAAGTGTAAGACTTAGTCAAGTTTAAAAGATCATTTATATCACATTGAACAGTTGATACTTTCGCAATTTTAAAAAATCAAAGGCAGAGAAAAATTTTCGGATGTTGAAACCCTTAATATTACAAATTTTGCGAAATAATTCAACAGCCTTATTCGACGATAGAGCGAAGGCAACGTCGGAGACGTATACTCGTATATATATATATATATGATCAGCATGCGGAGCTGAGTCGAATTATCCATGTCTATCTTTCCGTGTGTATATACGCAAACTAATCCCGCAGTTTTTGAGATATCGATCTAACATTTTGCACACGTCCTTTGTTCGCCAAGTAGCTGCTCTTTTGTCGGAACCGCGAATATCGGACAACTATAGCATATAGCATATAGCTGCCAAACAAACTGGCCGATGGAAATATAATCCTTGTATGTTAAGCTTTTTGATTTGAAAAGGTATCTTCTCGAAATTCGGCACAAATAATTATCCAAACTGGTTGATCAAGTTCAAGTCCTTGGATAGAAATCTTTTTTATTTGACGAGGTATCTTTACAAGATTCGGCAAAGATCGGACCACTATAGCATATAACTTCAAACTGAGCGATGAAAATCAAGACAATAATTTCTTTAACCCTTTTATGATATGTATAAAGATTGCACTTGTGAAGGGTATTACATATAGCAGAGGTAATCGTTTTTTTCTTATTATACCCTGAACAGGATATATTAAATTTGCCACGAAGTAAGTGTACATATAATTGACCAGTGACGGGTTGAGTCGAATTAGCCATGTCCGTCTGTCTGTATATACACGAACAAGTCCCTAAGCTTTTAAGATATCGATCGGAAATTTTGCACACATTCTTTTCTACCCAAAAAGCTGATCATTTGTTGGACCCACCGATAGCGAACCACTTTAGCATATAGCTGCTATATAAACTGAACGATCGGAGTCAAGTGCTTACAAATAAAAATTTTTAATTTAAGGAGATATTTTCACGAAATTTGGCAGAATGTTGAGTTATTATCTAAGACAATGGTGTAACCTTCGAAGAAATTGTTCAGATCGGATCACTCTAACATATAGCTGCCATACTAACCGAACGATCGGAATGGAGAGCTTGCATGGATTCTGCTATAATGACAAAAATCAATTTATTTAGTGTATGGGAACTGAGGTAATTCTTGAATCGATATTGTGCATTTTCGACATTAAGCGATAGTATGTTACAGTTTTACTTAATTTTGGTAAGATAAAGGCAGTATTGATCCGCTGTCATAACAAAAATATTCTCCCGAATTTCATTTCTAGACCTCACAGACTGACCAACATTATTGGTGTCTGGGTTCTTGAAACGTTACTGTCCGATTTCAACAATATTTGAGCGTAAGATGATAACTTCATTGATGTTTGATTCGTAAACAGTAGAGCAAAAGAATCAGCGTGTTTGTAATTCGATATAAAAATTTCAGGATAATTTTTTCTCCAAAATAGTTCCTGAGATATATAATGGGCGTGGTTATTACCGGAATTTACCCATTTTCATATCGTATAAAGAAAAGGAAACTTTTGTTGAGTTGGTCTCAGCGGTTTTAAAGATATATACATTTAACCATTTAAGGGGCAGGGCCACACCCACTTTAAACATTTTTTTAACACACAGGTATCTCTTGCTATCGCGATCCTTTGTAGCGAATTACAGTTATATATCTTTATGTGGAGCATAGTTATGGACCTATTAGGTTTTCGTTTAATTGGTCCGATTACGCCAATATTCATCTGGGTCCTACACAGCTCGTTTTCTTCCAACTTTAAAACTCTTTTAAAGTTTTTGCCATTTTCATGTGGCGGCGAACAAAAACATACTATATTACAGTTATGAACTTACACACAATGGCTACCACTAATTTTATAATTGTAAACGGAAGTGTAGGTGTACTACAAATATTTGTTTGTGCATTTATTCCACAAAATAACAATAAAGTTATAACAGAGCAGACGTAGAAAAAACATGGCGTGCGGTCTTGTGACCATGTGGCTTTATGATAATATGTAGTTTGCATGAAATTGCCACATGTATCCACAGCATGCAACCTCAACAGCATTGCTATACTCCATTCTAACTACCGTTTATCCCCACTCTCTGGGCCATGCCCTGAGTGTGTGCTAACAAATTGCCATCGCATGCCGCAGTGGCATTTACAGCCACTGACATTCTGCATACGTTCGGATGGATGTGTGTCCCGACCGTTTACTTTACGACTGCTCAACAAGCATGGAATGTAATAGTTTGCATAGTGCACATGCTATTAGATGAAATACGGTCCTTTTTGCACAGGGCCACTAGAGACATAGGACTAGATACATGTATGTGTGCATGAGTGTTTTATATTTTATGGTATCTTCACATATTTTATCTTTCAGATGTTATATTTGGTTGCACCGTGGAGACCAGGATATTAAAACATTTTTTGATCATTTTTTCTTTCCATCAGCATAACGGAACTATGTCAATAACTGCTCGAACGTCATTGGTTTTTGTGTTTCTAAGAAAGAATATATAACATTATTAGCCGTCTTCAAGTCGCCATTTCTCTGCTCGCTATCTTTCAGCACTGCTCTCTTGACAAAAAATTAACATGTGTAAGCAACGACTAAGTCCAAGAGTTGAATTCGATGCAAGAGTGTATGAGGTAATAAAGTGATGAAACGAGAAAGCTACCATATTTTGGTTTAAAGTTTTTAGAATAGCTTTAACATTGTGAACTTCCATATTTGATAACCAAAGAAATCTACGAATAACCTTTATGCGCTTTTTCAAAAGAAATAACAGACAAAACCAAACAAATTCACACCTAAGCCAATTACAGTTTTTACATAGCAGCGGCAATGGAATGTTCCGAGAATACTTCATTCATTCTTGGTTGTCAATCTTCTAGTGCGAAGGTTAAACGTTTCGGCAATGTTGTTATAATTTCTTTAAATTTTTGCTTCGAGTCTTTTGTAAGTACTTGTACAATTATTTTGTAGCGAATATTTTCAATATTATAATTAATAGTGTATCTAAACTCATATCGATTTATTTATATATTAAAGGGCTTACCAACTAGAACGACGTTTTGTTAAAATGAAACAAGTAAGGAAAAGCTAATTTCGTGTGTAACCGAACATTTCACACTCTTGTAACTTACAAGGTTCCGGGGAAAATTCTTCAATTCATTTATTTTATTAATATATAACTCATACATTGACCAACATATTCAACATAGGGTTTGTTAGATTAACGAAAAGCATTATACGAGTATGTGATATATGTATATCACATATTTTCGACTTTAACTATAGCATGTCATTAACTATAGCAGTCAAATATTATCTTACATATTGACCGATATATACTATATAAAGTCCATCAGAAATTTAAATTTAATACATGAGAGATAGGGATAGTACTGAACCGCTTTTATCGATTTTTGCCATTACCACAGAAAAAGATGATATCTGAGTTTCATTAAGGTACTTCACATACCTTCACCAATATATGCGAGATAAAGTTAACCGGATGTTTAAAAATTATTATAATTAGTTATATGGCGGCTGGAGCAATATTTTCCCCCGATTTTATACCTTTTATACACAAAGATACATTGTTATAAAAAAACCCGTTTTTTAACTCACATAATGACCGATACATGCGGTATAAAGTCAGATGGAAATTCGAAAATTTTTCTTTTAGGTATATGGGGATTAAGGAAATTATTAATACGATTCAACCCATTTCGGGCACACGGACATATTAATATCAGATAAAGATTCTCTTTGAGTTTATATAATTTATCTTACAGATTGCCCGATAATTGCGATAAAAAGTTCGCAATAGAAACTGTTGTTCATATATTCGGTTTTCTTAAATAAGCCGCAGTAAATCGGGTTATTTAAGATAATGTACATATATATATCTTTAATGTAATTTGTATATATACATCTCTTTAAGTTCTTAGGTATTTAGTACGTTTAATATTAATTTAAATTTGAAAAGTTTATTTTTAGCCTTCCATTTGAACTGAACGAGCAAATTTATTATTTACAGCAATAACAACACAAACTTTAACGTTCGCCACCAGATGTTTTTGAACTTATTTAACATGAAATGAATCCATTACTGACGAACTAACTTTCGATTTGATGCGTAGCTGGATATTTACATATAGTTTCTTGAATGAATAAAGGTAATAATAATATAGCCAACAGTTGAGATCACTAAATTAAATAATGAAGACCAGAAAAAATATTGAAATTAAGAAGTAAACGCTGCTCTACAAATGACCGCAGCTTAATAAAGCAATTTGTTGAGTGAAGCAGCAATTTCCAAGAATTATCCGCTTAGCAGCAGGTGAAAAGGATAACAGTAAATCGACTGGATAACCACACAATTATTTCCAGAATACAAAGCACAACAAGTTGCCAGTGAAGAGCCGAAGCGAGAAACGTCGTGCTTTTTGGGCTGCTCTTTTGGTGTCAGTGAGAAGGCGCAATTTGATTATAACTAGAAAATCAGGCCAACTTTCGAAGTAAATACTTGTACATACAGCACTAGCAGTATATATGCGTATGCGGTGGCGCGGCATTGTAAGTGGGCGTACAATGGAACGTGCCGGAAGCATCAACTCGGTAGGCGCAGCAAATTAGGCGCTCACAAATATCCAAAACTGCAAGTGCTTAAAGCAACAAATAAGATTTTGCACATTTAGAAGCGTTCGAACCGACAAGATAATCATATCCAACAGCGGGCTTATATAAAATCGACTAACATATCGAGCTAAACAGCAGCAAAAGCGTCGGTGGTATGTGATGGAATGGCTATTGAGCCGGTTTTGTTGCTGCCAATGATTTCCAACACTAGTTTTATGTTTGAACAGCAACGCCGACAAAAACAACAGCAACAGCAACCACGGGGCACATATCCAATTTAAGATGACAGACACTTCAGTGACAACGACAACAACAACAACAGCGGCAACAACAACGGAGGTTGGCTTTACGTCAGCTGGTAATATAACTGGCTCCCTGCCCAAAAGCAAAGTAGCCGCAGTCGATGACCCAGCTGTCAGCATAAATAAATCCTTCACAAATGGCGATGCTCATGTGGCGCAATCGCCACCGCCACTTATAATAAAAGCCGACCAACAATCTCATCGTAATAACAACATTGGTGCGGAGGTTGCGGGCGACACGGACGGCATGTCAACTAGCTTGACCAGCAATCGTTACTCGTGCGGCTCAGTTCAGTCACTCACAACAACTGTGGCAGTTACGCGTGGCCGCATGTTTTCCACGGACAATGGCGGCACCTCGACCACCAGCACAAATAACTCGATTTCCGCTTGCGACATGACGACGTTAGTGCATTCGACCGGCAGTAGCGCGGTCAATACGGCGCTCAATTCACCAATTAACTGCAGCAGTCCGACAGCAAATGCGACTCCCATGGCGGCAATTACGTGCAGCAACGGCGGGAAGGTGATACGTCGCGAAGCTACACAGCAAGAGGTTGACGAAGTGGCGCGTTTATTCGAGGAAAAGCCGGAATCTTTCGAGAAATGGCTGATGGAGCGTGCGCCTCCCGAGGCTTTGTCGCGCTTGCATGAGTTTATCGAGTCACGAAAACCACCGAAGCGGCCATCGGTGACGTCTGATCTCTTTCAGCAGTGGATGGCGGCATCGCCGGTACAGGTGAGTGTAGCAAATAAGAGAGAACGCATTAATATCCTTACGAGTAGTCATGTAATTTAATGTGTAACGACATGCTCGAATAACAGCTCCGCCTTATGCGCTCTTCCGGTCTTCAAATCCACTTAATTTCTCCTTTTCCCCAGCTTTGACTTGCTGTTGCACCATTTGCAGTGCACTCTTTTCATTAACCGTTAATTATTGTTTAACAACCAAGCACCACAGCTCGGCATACACTCAAATACAGCAGCCACCTTACTATGTGGCATGATGTACTCGCATTAATTCTCATTAAAAGCATACTTTTCAAAATATACGCAGATATAAAAACTTAATAAAAGCGTTTATACAATGCCACGGCACAATAGCCTCATAAAAGTGTGCAACAGCTACTGCAATAACAACAAATTAGTAGCTGTCAACATCAGACAACTCGTTTAAGCTGCCCGCAGTCGGTGCTGCTCTGTCGCGCTTCTTAAGCCAGCTGGCGTGCGTTTGGGCGCGTACATCCTTGCACGCTACAAATTTTATACGGCTTTTCATAAATGTTGCCATAAAGTTGTGTTCGTTGCCAGTTGTTGATATGTAGCACTTGGTGTGATGCCATTTTTAGGCTACATGCAAGCTTTAATGCGGGTCTCAATTGTTGTTCTTTTTCTTTCCTGTTTCCTGTTTACTGCATTTTGGACCACTGCAATGTAGCTTCTGTGTATTATGCACGAGTACTTTAGTTACAAATTGTACACGTGATCCATAAAGTTTATTCATAAATTTAATGATTTGTTTGCGTAATAATTCTCCTCGTGTTATTGAGGGCATTGAGTGTGTGAGTAATACAAGTATAACTGTTGTATGCCAAGGTGGTTTCATGGCATCTGCTTTTCAAGCAAACAGGATTGATTTGTTAGTTATAGCATTTTATCGATTTTCACTTACCATTGCCACGCCCACAAAATGACAAGTGAAAATCTATAAAATGCTATAACTAAGCCATACATTAAGATATAAAACTGTAATTAGGCATTATGCACTCGCTAAAAAATATGTTAAAAGCATTAAATTTCACAGCCAAGATGCTACGGAAAGATCTAATAGGAGGTGTCGAAATTGGACAATAGGCGTGGCAACGCCCACCATGAGGTGAAATCCCATACCTCAAGAACGGCTAGCACAATTTCAACTAAATTTGGTACGAGATATGATCTTTGCATTCCAACATAACGGTGTCAAAATGGGACAACATCTGTACCTTAATGCAATTCCCACAGCAAGACCATGTGACACATGCTACAGATTATTCTCAAAACAACACCAGAGACACACATAAATACATACATACACTCGTGCTCACATAATTAAGTCACTGCATGGCAAACTAACGTTTCACAATATAAAGTCCTCGAGCTTTGCATTTGTATAATGGTATGGAAAAAGTTTCAGTTATCGTTTTCGAAATTTCTGAGAACAAATTTAGAGAAATTAGCAATGTGGCTGGCGAAAAAATTTAAATTGTTATCCCTTAACTAAGCAAAACTATTATACTATGGACAACGCTATTGGAAGACATACATATGTTATATAGGGCGTTCTTAACTTGAACTTAGCTTAAAACGCTAGCCTCTGAAATATCGGAGCGGTCACCAATTGCAAAATGGTTTTTACAGTTCAAAATGCAATATGTTGTGATATAAGCTCACAACAGCTATATACGTATAATATATAACAAGTGGGTAGGTAGGTAGGTAGAGTGGCTCTCTAACGACGCACCTAGGCCTATAGGAGGCCCATTGTGATACCACCGGGTTCCCTCACTCTATCGTCGCCTCTCTCAACCAACCTGTGCTCCTGATGAAGCTCATCAGTACAAATAATTTTATATTACAATAGCAACTTCTGATACGTCGTCAAGGAACCCATGACCTATAGTGCGATTCTTTTCCTGTATAGAGCTTTACATTCGCATAGAAGATGTTTTACAGACTCCTCTTCTTCTACCTCCTGACAGCTTCTACAATAGTCGTTGTAAGGTACTTCGTCCCTTTCCCACTCCTCTCTGGTGGGGAAGGCAATATTGTGAACCGAATTTAGCTTCAATTCTATTGGATTTCGGAAATCCGTGGTTTTGGGTAGAAACGGGAATAAACTAAGTATTCTAGAGTGCCCCTTGTTGCAGGCGACTAATTGGAAGGATTCCCTTAGTCTGAGAGCTAACTTTGCTGCTACTTGCTTACAGAACAGGTCTGTTGGCAATAAATGTAGAATTACGTTTAGTGCCTGGCTAGGCGTTGTTCTAAGACCTCCACTAATGCATATACTGGCTGCTCTTTATATACTTTCCATACGCCTCATCGCGTATTTCTTATCCATTATTGGCCATCATACCAATATACCGTAAGTCATGATTGGTCTGACAACTGTTGTATAGAGTCAATAAGCTATCCGAGGCGTTAGCCCCCATTTGGTGTAGATTTCTTTTCATTTCTTCACCCTAGCATCCAATCCCTAGCTTGCCTTATCACCAATTGTTAGTCTGCAACCATTAATTAATGGCGCCGTAACTACTGAAGTGTTATGCTTCCTGGTAAACAATACTAGCTCTGTCTTACCAACATTTAGGTTTAATCCGCACGATACAGCCCAACGATTTATATCTTCCAAGATCGTTTGCATAAGGTTTGTGAGAGTATTCGGGAATTTACCTCTAGGCGATACCGCCACATCGTCAGCGTAGGCCCCTACATAGGTACATGTCTTCTAGATCCCACAACAACTTATTCATTGTCAGAATCCAGAGAAGTGGGGATAACTCGCCTCCTTGAGGTGTACCCCTTGGGACGGATCTACACATCATTGACGCTCCCAGCTTTGAAATTATTGACCTTTTTATGAGCATCTGTTCAATTAATTTTCTGAGAGGTTCAGAGATGTCCAGATTCTTAAGCGCACTCAGTATGGCCCTAGGCTGGATGTTATTGAAGGCTTCTTCTATATCTAAGAAGGCAATTAGAGTGTATTCTTTAACTTCCAGAGATTTTTCAATTTCCACCACCACAGAGCTCAGCGCTGTTTCTGTGGATTTTCCTTAAGAATACGCATGCTACGAAGCAGCCAGCTTATCTGGTTTTAGTTTGTTTCTTACTTGTATATGTAGTTCTATTAGCCTTTCCAACGCTTTTAAAAGGAATGAGGAGAGACTAATTGGTCTAAAGTCCTTTTTACTTGTATGCGAGCTTTTACCTGCCTAAAGTATGTTTATTACCTTGACTTCCCTCCACAGCGAAGGCATATAGTTTAATTGCAGCGCCCCCTTAAGAATGGTAACTAGCCAATCCATTTTGTAATTCTGCGACTGCTGTAATTGAGCGACTTGAAGGGCTGGAAGCTATTTATTGGCTAACGTACGTTGCTTTCTGACACTGTGTTTATAAGAGTGAAGTTTATTTCTGCTCCACTCTCTTAAGTATATTCAACAGTATACCTTTCAGAGCTACCTGGGAAGTGGATATCCATTAGTAGTCCCAGCGACTCTTCACTGGATACCGTCCAACTGCCGTCTGGCTTCTGAAGATAACCGATACTATGCACCGATTGTGCAACTATTTTCCTAAGTCGAGACGCTTCCGCTGTATTCTCAACATCATTACAAAAAGATTTCCAAGAATTTCTTTTTGCTCTCCTAATTTCCTTTTTGTATGACCTAAGGAGGTTGTAATAATAATCCCATTCTAATTCGTCTTGGGATTGTTTGGCTAAATTGAACTGATTTCTGCATTCTTCTTGTAACTTTTTAAGTTCGGGAGGCCACCAGGGGGGCCTGGTTTTACCCCTGCTATGTGTTATTGGACAAGCCACTTCTAATGCTTGCCATCAAGATTCAGTGAATCGAACAACGAGGATGTCGAGATCCTCCTTACTATTGGACTGAAATGCCGGAATCATAGGGATACGTTTTTCCAGCTCTTGCAGGTGCACGTGCCAGTTCGTTTTCCTATGATTCCTGAAGTCAATGCCTTTATCGGCAATATACATTCAATATATCGGTGATCCGAAAAGGAATGTTCTTCGAGGACTCTCCATTGGATTACCCTGTCAAATAATACTTCCGACACAAGCGTGATATCCAGTACTACTTGTCGGTTTCTTGTGATAAACGTTAGTGTACTTCCCTTATTACACAACAGTAGCTTAGTGCCTAATAGGTATTCAAAGAGACACTCACCTCTGTCGTTGACATCTGTGCTGCCCCAGACTGGGTGATGCGCGTTTGAGTCGCATCCAAGTATAATCATGCTCTGATTGGATGCCTCGCTATCCCGTACCACCTCTTTTACCATCAGAGGTGGCACCAGCTCTTCCTCGTATGGCATGTAGCTCGATACCAGCCGATAACTACATGTGCTCGTTTTCCAGCTTACTGTTACTGTGTCGTTGTTGCTGTAATGATGTAATATAAAAACGTTAAGGTTTTTCTTTGCCATTATGCAGTCTCTGATTTTACCTTGACAATTAGCCATAAATAACCTATAGCTCGGTGTCCCCAGTCCGCAAATATGCCCTCCATTAACCCATGGTTCCTGAATGAGGACAAACTCAGGCTGTTTTATTGCCAAGCGGTTAATTAAGGTTGCTTAAGCTAGTTTGCTGTGATGAAGATTAATTTGTAGAAGACGCATTAAAAGCTCTCTCTCAGTATACAAGTTTGAGAGTCTGGCAGCAAGCTCAGACCCGGAAGAACACTCACCTTGCTCTATACTTTCTACATCGTTCGAGGACTCCATAGGATCTTCCCCTACTTCGCATGCCTCGCTTTCCGATACTAGATGGTCTGCAGCATCGGCGTCCGACTTGTACGGTGTAATTCTAACTTTCGTGAAACCGTAATTTATCTCCCCACCACTTTTCGCCAGCGGTTCGATAGAGTCCTTTGTTAGTAACAGCAGAATCTGCATCGTGGCCCTTTTGACCTAACTAGGTTGATTTGGTCTCCACGCCAGATTCTGCTA